CACGAGTGGGCGGGATGGGATGAGAGCATTTGGAAAGAGGGGCCCATTCAGGGGGTGTGGTGGGTGGGAGTGGAGAAGGGTGCAAGTGACTTGGGACCATGGCGAGCGCAACCAGGCTAGGTGCAAGATTAACAGGCTCACAGGGTGTGGTGAGTGTAGCGAGCATGGGATGCAGCCCCCCTAGTATACCAGTAATTGTAAGTTTCTTATTTTTCCTGGATGAGAGCATTTGGAAAGAGGGGCCCATTCAGGGGGTGTGGTGGGTGGGAGTGGAGAAGGGTGCAAGTGACTTGGGACCATGGCGAGCGCAACCAGGCTAGGTGCAAGATTAACAGGCTCACAGGGTGTGGTGAGTGTAGCGAGCATGGGATGCAGCCCCCCTAGTATACCAGTAATTGTAAGTTTCTTATTTTTCCTCTCTTTGGGTTAAATCTGTCCCAATTCAAAGGCTTGCAGAACGGTTTCTGCATTGCACAAACCCCACTTAAACCTCGTGGTAACCCCATGAGGGTTTAAATGGTGATGATTTCCTCATTCAGGCCTGTTGTCCTTGAGTGAGCTGCACCTTGTATGAAAAACTATAGTGATTTAAGGCAAATCTTTATATCTTTCTGACCTCCTAAATACAGTGACATTCTTCACTGTTCCACTCTCTCTTGCGGTGAAAATGAAAACTTTTAATACACTGGCCAATACTGGGGCAACTTACTAATGTTTTCAGAGACTAAATACTTTGTGAATTGGTCACTGTACAGTATGTATCACTGTTACATGTAGTCAGGATGAGTATATGAAACAGAAGAAAATATGAAACTACCAGGTTTTATTTTTTCCAGAGTAAGTATCTAGAAGGATCTCTAAAAAATAATTTGCTTTTCTTCTTTTTTGTGGCCAGCTACCTGTACAAACTAAACAAGTCCTTCATCTTAAAATATTGTGTGCTTTAAGAGACTTGGGCAAGTTCATTCTGATGATGAAGATGTTCAACAGGATCTATGCTCATGTTTCCCAGACCTCCTGCTAGCTAATGACAGACTGTCACAGAGCCAGAGAGCTCAGAATTACTTCTGCCAGTGCCATGCCCTTGGTGCCTGAAGAAAGAAATCCAGCTGGATACATCAACTTGTGAAAAAGGTTTTACCTAATAAAAGCCCCTACGGCTGTGTGATTAGCACAAGGCTGGGCAAAATACAGCCCGGGGGATGGATCCGGCCCGCAAAGCCACAGGAGCTGGCCTGCGGACTCCCCCGCCAGGACCCTTAGGCACGCAGATGCCGCGGTTTAAAACCCAGTTCCTGCGACTCTCTGCTCTGCAGGGAGGGGGAGGCAGCTTGCAATCTCCTCCTCCCCCAGCCCAATTCTCACCTCCTATTGGTCAGAAATAACCGGCCAATAAGAACTGACCTCAGCCAATATCTCAGCTCCTATTGGCTGGAAACAGCCAGCCAATCAGAGCTGAGAGATTGGCCTGAGAGGCTGGAGCAGGGCAGGCTTCTTTCCCCATGTGGAATTGAGCCACATGGAGGGAGCAGCCTGCATTTTCAAGTGGGCTGGGGCTTCAGCAGGCAGCCTTGGGGTTGCCAGGTGTACAGTTTTGAACCGGACAGTCTGGTATTTGAGAGTTCTGTCCAGGAAACAAATTGGGAAAACACTAGACATATAAAATGTCTGGTATTTTCTATTTAGGTAAGTTTTATTATTATTAAGAGTATCAGTAGATAGTTGCACACTGCCTGGCTGTTAGACATGCTCACGCTGCATGAGTGTGTCTACCAGCCAGGCAGTACGGCACTACATGGGAGGGGGGGGCATGAGGGAATCCTCGGGGCCGGACTCACTCGTGCTTCACTGGGACCATGCACGGGACGGGCAGCACCCCAGGATCTGCATGCACCCGGGTCAGTCCCACTCCCCGCCGGCCGATTCTCTCCCCCCACCGGCCAGCCCCGCTCCCCCTGATCTCCCCCGGCCAGTCCAGGCTCAACATCCCACCTGCCCAGGAAATGTAGCTCCCCAGAGCAAGCTGCATGGGGCCGAATTGGTGATTCCTGGTTGAGTCTGATGCTGTGGGGAGGAGGAGCCCTGTCCCATCTCCTGAGCATGTTGTGGAGCCGCAGCCGGACTCACTTGCGCTTTGCCGGGACCGTGCACGGGACTGACAGCGCCCGGGGATCAGCATGTGCCCGGATCAGTCTCCCCTCCCACCCCCCCCCAACTTCCCCCGATCCTTCCCAACCAGCTCTGCTGCCCCCAGCTCCCTCCCGGCCATCCCTGCTTCCTGCTGGCCAGCTCTCCCCCCTCAACCTCCTCCCAGCCAGCCTCATTCCCCTCCTGGCTGGTCCCCCCCACATCTGAGATCAAGTGTGTCCAGCATTTTTTTTAAGCCACCAGCTAACCCTACGCAGCCTGCCTTGGGGATGCTGTAGCCTACTGGCCCAGAGACACTTAGGTAAACTCCTCCCAGCCAGTGCCTTCCTCTGACACCCCAACCTCTCCTGCACACCAACTCCCTCCCCCACGTCACCATCCAAACCCTCTGCACTCCCTGCCCCGGGTGGCAACTCCCTCCCTGTACCCCCTCTTACACTCCTCCCTCAAGCTAGAATCCTCTCCTGCACCCACACTCCCTCCCTGACCCTACACCCCAATCCCGTGACCCAGGTCACAACCCCCTCCTCCACCCAAACTCCCTCACGGACCCCACACCGTCTCCTGCATCCCAGTCTCTTACTCCATGTGCCCTTCTGCACACAACCTTCAACCTAGACCCTGCACCCCCTCCACAGAAAAGTGCGGCCCTTGACCACTTACCAAAATCTTGGAGTGGCCCCTCACCAAAAATTATTGCCCACTTCTGGATTGGCAGTTTCCGGAGAAGTAACTGCATCCAGTTATTTGCCTCTGAATCCATTATCTTTTGAGACCCTCTAAATGCACCATTGTGTCCTCACTATTCACCTCTGATTGAGACAGAAAATGAAGGAAGTCCTAAAGAATGTGACTATATGTATCTGTCCTGTTTCCTATGTACATCTGATTAGAACACAGCTGTTTGCTGCTAGGGCGACCAGAATACAACACAATATGGCCCTTTTGGTGTTCCATTGTTTTATCAATTTCCCACAAAAACTAACAGAACTTACAGCTGCTATAACTATTCGCATCTGAGAGCTAGTAAATGCCTTGCAAAGAAATGGGTTGCGGATATGGGTGGAAACACTTTGATACCTTGTCTAATAGCTAAAAGAAATGGTTAAAATAACAGACCATATGTGATCAAAATTCAGAGTTGTCAACAACACTAAGAGCAACTGTAACGTTCAGTCAAGTGCTAACTAGACACCTAGGCTATGTCTACACAGCAAATAAACACCTGCAGCTGACCCAGGTCAGCTGACTCAGGCTCGCAGGGCTTAGGCTCTGGGGCTATAAAATGACGCTGTAGAAATTCAGGCTCCAGCCTCTATACCACACTTTTACTTTTCTACAGAATGAGCCCACATTAGCTGACTTGGGCCAGCTGGAGATGTTTAATTGCTGTGCAGGCACATTTCTAGAGTCCGGAGTTAAAATTCTGTCTAATGACACAAATGACAGAAGCTTTCATGGTCTCTTCATAGTTCCTATTGTGCTAATCAAGAAGCTGCCACAATGTTGGCACATTTGACAGCCATGTCACAGGTACCCAAGATTAGAACAGCAGGGATAGGTCTACACTGCAATGCTATTTTGGGATGCCAAAGTATCCCCAAATAGCTATACCGCATCTTCACAGCAAGCCCGTTATTTCGAAATATAACGGGCTCGCTATTCTGCAAGGAGTGAGGGATATTTTAGAATAGTGGGTTACTTTGAAATTTGGTGCTGTCTACTTACAAAATAAACTATTTCGAAATAAGATCAAAATAAGAAACGCAAATTGTGTAGCTCAAATTGTATATCTTATTTCGAGCTATGGTGCAGTGTAGATGCACCCCAAGAGTATAAAGACCCAGAAGGATTCACAGACCTATAGCAGAAATCTTGTCTTGATCATTCCACATTATGCCTTACATAAGCCTGTGCTATCAACCTCTCTTCCATGAGCTCTGAATTCACTCATTTTTTAAAAAGTGACACACTGCTTTTCTTCTGGTTACATTTCAACAATGCTTAGACTTTACAATAATAGCATTACTAAATAAAATGTAAGCCTAGTATAATTACTGGTGAATCTCTTTGCTTTAGCGAGTATTATTACTATTATTATTATTATTTCCTGACTTCAGAACTTGACAGAAACACATTGCAAATAAACAAAGGGCAACATAATATCAAACTGGCAGAAAATGTATAAAGAATAATAAAATAGTCCACAACTGGTTGCCCCAACATAAGAAAAGATGATGAACAAGGATTGCTTTTCTCATTTTTAAGACCATTACAAGAGAATCACTTTATTCCAATGAGACTAACATGACTTCAGTGAAATGTATATATTTACATTAAAGTTTGTAAAGCCCTCCAAAACTGTGATTATGGAAGTTCTATAACTAACTAACTAAATAAATAAATAAAATAAATAAAAATAGTTATGGTTTAGCCAAGTAGAAAAGTTGTAGAAAAAACTTTTTTTCTTATCTCAGTAGACATTTGTTAAAACAAAGCAAATATGTTAACCTTGATGCAGCTATGTATTAAACACACTGTGATAAAGAAAAAGGAATTCATATTACTACGCTTTCAGCATTCCGCATGCTAATTATAACTGTACTTTGTTATTACAACAATCTATCAAAATGTTTCTCCTCATATGACTATCCATCTCTTTTTAACATCAACAAGTATAATATGGCCTCCATTAAGTTAATGCAGGTCCAGAATATAGCCCTGAGTATGATCTTAAACCCTATTGTACATGTGATCCTTTAAAAATATATACACTTTACCTTTAACATTCTTTCCAAATCCCATAGAAGCAGGAACCGAGCTATCCACTTGTCTTTTGCTGTTTGTTTTCTCTTTCATGACGTCATCATCACTTGAAATATCATCAGAGCTAATCTTTTTCTTCTTCTTTTTATGTCGAGGTGGGAGCTTTTTAGGGAAAGTAAACATTGGGAATATGACAAGGAGCATTGCAATGGCACAAAGAAGGAATCCACTCCACCTAAAGTGAGAAAATACAAGTAACCGTTGAGAGCTGGTGGATTATGTGGAACAAAAATTGCAAAGCATCTTTGTGGCTAGCACCAAGAATAACTAGATAGAAAACCACATTTCGCACTAATGGTTGGAAAACCAGTAAAAATACTGACAGAAGAGCCAAAACAAAACTTGCTCTGTGGTACTGAATGCAAAATGAAATCAAAAGGAGCATCTATTAAAACCAACATCATCATTTAGTTTAATTTTAAAAGCATTCACTGAGAAGGCATCAATTGATATGATAATAATGTCACTTTTGTGCTCTCTGGAATTTGTTGCTTTCAACAATACTGATGAGAGGGCCTTTATTCATTGCTACTTAGCTCAAATTCAAACAAATTCCCACTGAAATTAATGGGAATTTGCTAGATTTAAAAATGGAGGACGAGGCTGGACCTTTGGAGATCCAAGCCCAGGGTCCCCTCAGGCACAGATGGAGCTCTGCTTTCCCTTAGGCAGAAGGTACAGTCAGGCATTTATAGAACAGCACAGCTTCATTCCCCTGGATCACACTGAAGGTGACTTGCAAGTTTGGGGCAGGAAGGCAGATCATCCTCTCGGGAGCCAGGCTAAAAAAAAGGCAGGGCCGATAGGGACAATGGGTCATCAGTAGTGCCATTTTCAATTATACCTACTGGCTTAAAAATGCACCACAAATACACCTAAAGTGCAGTGGGAGCAGGGAGGGGAAGGTGTCACCCATCTGCCTGCAGGCTGTGAAATTTCCTGTTCCCTACCTAGGTATTTCCATAAAGTAGTACAAACTACCCGTAAGAAAGGACACCACAATGTGCACCACAAAACTGCTCCAAACTACTGACAGTATGGATCTCAAAAAAATACTGAGGTCTTCAATCCTGATTCTGATTCTTCAGAGCCACTGAAAGCAACAGTGTTACAGCAACATAAAAACAGTGTGAGCGGAGAGTCAGGCCCCTTGACTTCAGATAACTGGCTATTGTGCTGAATTTCACATCTTTGTTCATTACCTGCACCTAGAGACCAGGTACTTGTCACATAAAGACACTGAACCAAATATCATACACTGCATATGGGAAAACAGTCACAAAAGTCAACAAGACTACAGGTTGAATCTTTGAAATCAGGGTCACTCTGGTCTGGCAACAGCTGTTGTCCAGCAGGACCACCTATATTGCTGGCCCAGAGGTCCAGCAGCTGAGAACAGGAGCCGACGAGGGTCAGGAGCACAGCCCCAGCCAGGCCAATGGAAGGGAGCTCAGCCCTGGCCAGAGTCAGAAGTGGAGCCCAGTTGCTGGGGCTGGCACCCGGGAGCAGGGCCAGTGACCAGGAAGGGGAGTGGGGCTGATTGCCAGGATAGGAGCTTTGACCTTTCCTGCTCTAGCAAACTCCCTGACTCAAGACCACTCAGGTCCAAGGGTGCTGAACTATGGAGATCCAACCTGTACTTTGGCCCTCTTTTTGCAATGGAAAGAGAACTACAGGATATACTTTTAAATGGAAGGATTGTGTGCCATGGGAATGGGATCAAGAATGGTTAGAGCAAGGACAAGCCAGATAATAGAAAGCTGTGCTGATAACTCTCACCATGGGCAGGGAAATTAAATGAAATGATTGAAAGTTTTGGTTAAGTAGTTTGATAGTTGCTAAACAGAAAATCACTCCTTTTGTCTGATAAAATGCATAGAGGGCTACGTCTACACTGGCATAATTTTCCAGAAATGCTTTTAACGGAAAAGTTTTCCGTTAAAAGCATTTTCAGAAAAGCACGTCTAGATTGGCAGGATGCTTTTCCACAAAAGCACTTTTTGCGGAAAAGCGTCTGTGGCCAATCTAGATGCGCTTTTCCGCAAAAAAGCCCCGATCGCCATTTTGGCAATCGGGGCTTTTTTGCGGAAAACAAATCTCTGCTGTCTACACTGGCCCTTTTGCGCAAAAGTTTTTCGGAAAAAGACTTTTGCCCGAACGGGAGCAGCATAGTATTTCCGCAAAAGCACTGACAATCTTACATGAGATCGTCAGTGCTTTTGCGGAAATTCAAGTGGCCAATGTAGACAGCTGGCAAGTTTTTCCGCAAAAGCAGATGATTTCGCGGAAAAACTTGCCAGTCTAGACACAGCCAGAGAAGTTTGACTTAGAAACAAGAGTTTTAGGAGGACTAGCCAAGGGCGCCATTTCAGGAAAGCAGAGAGGAGGGGAGGGAGTGCAGCCATGCATATTGGCATGCAGATTGCTTTTCTTCCTGTCCCCCTATCAGGCAGCATGGGGAAAGTACTTGCATTCCAGCATGCCTCTTACTGCTGGCTGGTGAAGGGAGGGGGCAGAGGAGTAAATCACAGAATCCAAGTTCTTTCCCCTCTCTCCCGGATAGTGAGGGGAACAGGATGAAAAGCAAGTGTGAACAACTGCTGTCCCCCACGCTCCTCCCAACACTCCACCCATGAGGCTAACAGGCACAGTCTCACAGGCAATAACATCGTTCAGAGCATGGAAATGTAGTGACAATTCCTTTTGGGCTCTCTGAGGCTTCATCTACACTGCAAAGTTTTTGCGCAAAAACTCGCAGAGCATCCACACCTCAAGCCCATTTTTGTGCAAGAAAATTTACAGTGAAGGGACAGAACAGAGAGGTTTTTGCAGTATAGGTATTCCTCTTTCCATGAGGAATAAGCCTTTTTGCACAAGAGCTTTTTTGCCGCTCCAAGCAAAAACATTTTTGGATGCCCCCCCCCGCCCTTTTTTTGTTGGCTTTTACACGTTTGCACTGTGCAATGTTATGTCTATACTACCAAGTTTTGTCAGCAAAAACTGCCTTTTGGCAACAAAACAGTGAGGCTCTGTCTACACTGGCATGAATTTCCGGAAATGCTTAAAACAGAATACTATTCCGTTTTCAGTTTTTCCGGAAAAGGAGCGTCTACATTGGCAGGCTGCTTTTCCGGAAAAGCCCTTTTTCCGGAAAAGCGTCTGTGGCCAATGTAGACGCGCTTTTCCAGAAAAGAGCCCCGATCGCCCTTTTCGCGATCGGGGCTTTTTTCCGGAAAAGACTACTGGCCTGTCTACACGGGCCCTTTTCCGGAACAGTGTTCCAGAATAAGGACTTATGCCCGAGCGGGAGCAGAATAGTTTTTCCGGAATAGCGGCTGATTTTGTACAGTAGAGCATCGTTGCTTTTCCGGAAATTCAAGGGCCAGTGTAGACAGCTCGCAGCTTATTCCGGAAAAGCGGCTGATTTTCCGGAATAAGTGGCCCAGTGTAGACACAGCCTGAGTGTGTTCACACAGCAATGCAACTTTTGTAAGGAAAAACACCAAGTTTTGGCAACAAAACATTTCCACCCCTACAAGAGACTACAAGTGTTTCTACCCCTACAAGTGTTTTGATCTCTGCTGCCCTGCAGGCATGTACCATGGGCCCTTTCAAAGCTCTGGGAAGTATCTTGACAGCTGAGTGTTCTCCAAACAGAGCAGCTAAAAGAGCCAATCACTGGAATGCTCCTGTTCTTCCCTGCACTAGGAACACAGAAGCAGGCAGACTGCTGTTGCATGGGAAGGGGGACAAATGCTGTGTTGCTTTGATATTCCTCAGCAGGGAGAGCTCACAGAGCTACTCATGATGCCTCTCCTCAGCAGCTGAGGATGTTGTGGGAGAAGTTGGAGGGAATCTGAAGATGCACAGGGATCAACTCTGCCAACCCACAGTGCATTGCTCAGACTGTCAATGATAGTGTGCCCAATGTGGACATGATCTGTCAACAGAGGGAGCAAGTGTGAACACCCTCTAGTAATTTTTGTTGTGTCAACTTTTGCATGTTGACATAGGTTTTGTCAACAAAACTTGGCAGTGTAGACATACCCGAAGTGCAGGATATGTCTTAAGTGCAGCACTGTATGTCATCTTGTACACTGCTTTACATGATCAAAATCAAAGAACTGGACAACAGACAAAAGAGATAAGGAATTTCAGCATTAACACTGCGGAATGAATAGGCAAGTGACATTTACATCAATTAGAACACAGGAAATACAGGCAGTCCCCGAGTTACACGGATCCGACTTATGTTACGAACGGGGCTTTTCTTGCCCCGGAGGACGGGAGTGGCGGGACGCCCAGATGCGCCGCGGTCCGCCGCCCCCGTCCTCCAGGGCGAGAAAAGCTGCTTCCCGTCTCCCTGGTCTGCAGGGAGACAGGGAGCAAAGCCTTGGAGCACGCCCGCAGCGGGACAGCCCAGGCGC